TGCGTAGGTAATTTCCGTCGATCGTTATGATATTGTTATTGTCAAATCTGAGATCATTAATACTTTCCTCGTGTATGTTTTTTGGTTTATTTATTCAATAAACCCTTTACTTTCAAATGCCACTTTAAATAGCTTTGGAGAGAGTATCTCATTGTCGAACTGCTCTTCTGATGCGTATGCTGTTGATTTCTGAATTCATTCTCAGTGTGGCTATCTGACCTTTATAGATGTTTCCAGAATGTATGTGTACTTTTGTTGAGGTCCTGAACTGTGACAGCTTACTTGACGGCATCAAATTCTACTCAATCAAATGTCTTTTCATAGATTACAAAAGCCAGGCATAATAGCTTTTCATATTCATTTGTCTTTTCTAGCATATGATCGATAGTGGGTATGTGGTCAATGTAGTAAAAACCTTTCTAAATCCAGCTCTCACCTTGTTGATTGACCTTTAAATTGTCCATTATTTGAATCTCTATGGTCTCCGTGAACAATTTATATATGTGGCTTTGGCTTGTGTTTTCTACGTAGATGAGTGATGGAGGCAGCATTGTTTCATGATTAAAAGTATTTCATTTGTGTATACATTTTGTAAATTGATCAGCAATTTGTTTTTATTCAACCGATTTTACTGCCTTTTTGATGTCTGCAGTTATGATAGTGAGGTTTGCCACTATCTAAATGGATGTTCCTCTCCTTTTCCCATTATCTCCAGAGTCCAACTCTGTCCCAATGTATCTCTCTCACAAGGAACGGTAAGGCAATGTGACGCTCCAATTCCAGCCAAAATGTGTACATGAACAGTACGTGGTGATCGAATAGGATTGCTGAAATGTCACGTGACCCTCATGGCCCATGGGCTGATCTATTAACATTTCAAAAGTACGAGGCACAATCATGAACATTTATAGAAAAGAGAGAAACACGAAGGGCTCATCTGATGATGAATGTGGCCTCATTGCATCCAGACGGTTCTCCACAACTCTCTTGACAGTTTTGTTTGACGATGTCTGCTTAAAAACACGATCCAACTGGTGTTGTGAGACGTGACTCAGACCTGCGATCAATGTATCCCGTGGCTTTCTACCAAGAAATCTTCACGAAATTCTTTAACAGAGACGCCGAGAACTGGTTTTGTGCAAGAGGGGCTGCAGCTTCTAGATAAAGGCTTAATCACCTTGAGACGGTTCACCGTCATGGTAAATAAAACAGCACCAGCAGAACATCAAGTGGTGTGTGTGTGTGTGAAGCAATGTGAGTGCAAAGGGCTGAGGGTTAATTCCTTTCTGGTACCTGAACGAGGCAAACGAGAGAATGTATGACATTTAACTCGTGCTCCGCTACCATCGTGTACTGGGACTGTACAAATTGTGGTTGAAATCGGAGCGTCACACTCCGTCGATGTTCACCGTCAGTTATTTTCTCCAGTTTAATAAGATTTTATTTGCCGGAGCATGCACGTCGCATGCAGCAATGGGTCACATCGAGACGGTGTTCTGTTCGTATCCATTTACATTTACGTATGACGCCAGCTCAAATTATAGCATGCACTGTATTAACAACGAGGATATATTCAAGGCACCGTTTAGAAGTACAGCACCGTAAAATCGTGACTTTAACGGGAAGAACACGAAAAGCCATAAAAGTGAACCAGCAGAGAGAGAAACATGCAATTCTAAAATAAACCGATTCTGGTTTATGAACGTGTGTCACGGGATGGACTCATGCAGGCACTAGCATGAAATCGAACCGACTTCTTATTTACTGTATTTGTGTTTATATATTCATTTAATACACATTGCCGTGCATGTGTAAAACTCCAAACCACGTGCACACACACACACTCCTCAACGTAGATTGCCTTGGGCACAATTTACCAGCAAAGAGGCACTTGATGAAAAAAAGCGGTGTATGCCTATACATCTGTCAACGGCTCGTCAAAGCAATAGGTACCCGTGCAGCCTCCAACGTTGAGTACGCATGCACCTGCGGACACACCTTACAAGAAGCCTCGTTACGCCACGCTGCATGGCAGCTATTCTCTTACCGCCTGTTTGTTGTAAATCAGCGTGCTTTCCCAATGGAAAACGGCACAGTTCGGGCGCTTAATAAAAAAAATTGAGCTCCGCTCGCTGGAAACTTACCGACGTGCACGCACACCTTACAACAGACGTCTAAAATAAACCTGCAAGTGGAATAAAAAAAAATGTTTAAATCGAATAAGCGATAAACATGTAACACTAAAATTACGAAATCAGAAAAGCCCACTCAACGTTCAACTGAAGACATTTAGTCAATGACACTTGCGGACTTAAAGGGGAAATATAATATTAGGTGACATTTTTGGCAATAACTTGATTCTTGTTCATAGCCCAAAAAGCCACCATATATTGTTTTGCTTTTAAGGCAGTGGTTATTTACGAATGTGTGTAAGTTTTAATTTAAAGCTTTCGTGACTGCAGGGATTCCTATTCTTGGTCCTTTCGGTAAAGTCACGTAGAAGGAAACAATAAAATAATAAAAATATAAAACAAAATTCTCACGACATTTTGACTGCAACAGAAGCAATCATCATCAGGTGTGAAACCCACAGCAAGTCGAAATGTCGTGAGAATTTTATTGTTTTATATTTTTATTATTTTATTGTTTTCCTTCTACGTGACTTTACCGAAAGAACCAAGAATATAAATGTGTGTAGTGTATTGTTAATTTGAAGCTTTCGTGACTGCAGGAATCCATACTCTTTGGTTATTTCGGTAAAGTCACGTAGGTAGAAATATTTTGTTATTTTATACCTACGTGATTTTACCGAAAGAACCAAAGAGTATAGTATATTGTTGTTTGTGCTTGTACACCACCGCACACGCAATATACCACTATCTAATCTGCGTCCACAAAGCTTATTGTGGGTCCTCTATGCTCACGTGAATTCTGACCGAACGTGCTCGGCAAGTGATGATGCACACCAGTGTTGTAAATGATTCACATCAGTGTGTGCCAACGTCAAATAACTATTGCGTGGCTCACATCATATATCTATACTCACGCTAATATCAGTGTACTATTGATAGTAATCGGCAATTGTGTCACTATCATTATTATTGATGGCAATATCAGTGGCCAACACCAGCCTGCGCCAACATTAGGGAGCTCTTGTGCACTTACATAAATACATTCCTAATGGCTTTCCTTTGTACTGTACATTCCTGATGCCAGCATCGGCAATGTATCCTGACGCCAGCACCCAGGGTGCTTCTTCCCACGTGCTTGGATCAATGTGCGCCTGTGTGCCTCGGTGGCGAAGAGCACATACTTTTCCTTCCCACACAGCGGCACACAGGCAGGTGTTGACTCTGCAAACTCGGTGGCAATGTCAAATAAACTTCACCGCCTTGGCTGCGGTGTGTTGCATGCAGATTTGGCCGTGGCCAGCCCCAAATGAGCCGAGGGCTCTGCAAAAGGAGGACCCCCCCCCCCCTTTGTCCAAAAATGACCTTATTATGGGGTTTGCAAATTACTGCAGAAGGGAGTTTTAATGATAGCCTACAACCAAATTACCTAGAATGACGTTCTACGACCAAATGACCTGAAATGAATGCCCCCGATTTCGTCAGATATCAGAAGTTAAAAGCAATGTTTTAGCCTGGATAGTGTGGTGTTGCGTGCGTAGAACAAGCGTGGGAGAATGTTTGGGGGGGGGGGGGGGGCACAACATTAATTGTGCTGTACCATGCACCAATGTATTTGGATCACCGCTGTCATCAAACACGCACCGTAGCATGATGAGAAGCATGGGTATATAACCCCCCAACGACCCGCAAAAGGTGCGATTGCCACCCTCATCTGGCAGTGAATTGCCAAAAGGGGGCTTTTTGAATGTGCATGTCATTGATAACGATGGCAAACTAGTTTTTAATCTGGCCCAGTAAGAGACGCACTAAACCCACCGAAAGTCTCCACAGCTGCCGGCTTTGACATTTTGCTCTAGCAGCCTGCAACCATAATCAATAAGAGGATGTTCCTCCAATACGAGAGCAAACTAACTATTCACCAACATCAATGCCATGGTACTGTACAATGAAGTCCTTTAATGGGTGTGGTCTTTGAAATGTAGTTCCGAACGAAGCTTATAATGTGTCACTATTTTTGGTTTAAACGTCAATCACATTTATGATGAAATCAAGGAAGAGAATGACGTTAAATAATTTATGTTATTTGTCCAAAGCGAGGTCTGCTAATGAAGACGTTTATGCAAATGTTTGGCTAATGATGAATTAGCGTGGGAGGCGTAAAAGATGCCCACTGTGTTGTGGATATGATGGACATCGGGCGATGGAGTTAAAGGACGCTAACTAATGAAGATGATGGTTAGGATAATCGATGACATATTTATGAGATTGCTAGACGACACAGCGATGGCTACGAAATGTAAAAGAATGCGTGTGGATGAATGACGCGATGGTTGTAGGGTGTTAGATGATGATGAAGAGCACGCTACTAGATCCAGCAGGCGACTTGGCCGACTAGGATGACGCAGGCATAAGAATGCAAAGTGATGAAGATGACAGTGACGATGATGATCACAAACTAGATCAACGCTAAATGTCATAAGGATGACGAGGTGTTAAGAAAACGCCAGTGACGAAGACGATAACGATGATAGATGCGAGATCCATCATCCTGCACGCCGAATCTTCAAGACCGCCCGGGTTGGGAATACGAAGGCTGGGATTGCAGAACAATGGGGCAGGTTGATGATCTGTGTGTGGAGTGCTCTGTGCTCACATGAAGTGTGCTAATGTGTGGAAGATTGCCGAGCACTCGAGAATCAACCCAAGCGTGGGATGAGCAGCAGCAGCAGCTCAATGTCCACTGAACGCACTCTCCCTGCGCACAGTAGATGTCTTCTCCACCCACCACCCCTCCTCCTCCTCCTTGGAATGCTGCTGTGCTCCGGGACACCGCACACACGAAAGCGAACATCTCTCTCTCTCTCTCACCTTGATGATGCTGCTCCTCCTCGGCAGACCCAGGCTGCCCCCGAGCTCGGCAGGGCTCTCGCACCCCTCTGCGTCGGGGCTCACGGGGCTCGGCGCGTCCGGGAGACCCAGGGGGCTCGGGGGCACCGCGTCCCCGGCGTTCGCCTCCTCCTCCTCGGGGCCCCCGCAGCAGCCGTTAGCCACCGCCCGAGGGTGCTCGGGGGAGGAGGAGGTGGTGGAGATGGTGGAGGTGGTGGTGGTGGTGGCCTCGAAACTCGCAGATTGCCGGTCCGGCTGAGCCATCGGAGGCGACGGCTTCCTCCGCGCGAGGGGACCCGAGGCCGGGCCGCGCTCCTGCGTGGCTTCCTCCTCCTCCATGTGCCCAGCGGGGGCCACGCAACTCCTTGCGGTTGCAACCACGACGACGATGGTTGAGGAGGTGGTGGTGGTGGTGTTGGTGGTGGTGGTGGTGTTGGTGGTGCTGAGATGGTGATGGTTTGAGGATGCTTACGATGCCCGTGTGCGCGCGGCGGCCAGCAGCACCGACAGCTGCAGCAGAGTCCCCTCTCTCGACCCAAAGCCAGCAGCGCGCATTCCCACCCACTCAGCCCCTTAGCCCACGCTCGCTGCTGTTGCTGCTGCTGCTTCTTCGGGGAGGAACAAGGCGATGAACGAGGCAGTGGGGGGAGGCAGAGAGCGAGACCCGGGTACGGGACCGGGTTGGGCGACGCAGGGGTACGGGGGAGCGGCCCGGAGGCAGTCCGAGACACGCCCGCCTCTCGCTCCTCCTCCTACTCCTCCTCTAAGGGGGAGGAGCTGTGGTGGGGTGCGATTGTTATCTACCAGAATATGGCAATCATCATCATCATCATCCACATCCACATGCAATCATTCGTTATTATAAAATCGTGAATTTCATCGTTGTCAAGACAATTAATTCGCCCTTAATGTTTGGCAATCATTTCGTCATCACGTGATTTCAGAGTTCAATAAATATTTTATTTCATTATCACGGAATAAATGTAATCATTCGCCCATGAATTTCGTCATAATCATCATCCGATCGTTCATTTTATCATCGTCGGACAATCGTTCAGCATCAATCATTAATCATACAATCAGGAATTTAATTCATTGTTCATTATCAATGAAACATCAATCATTTCATCAGCATAAAACGACGTCTCTCGTCACCCATGATCTATCCACTGCTTGATATATAATTCCACACGTCATCACCATCCCTTGCGGTCTTGCGATGCCACACGCCGATTCGCTCCTGCACTTAAGATTATATCAGCATTCCATCTCAGAGGTCTTCCTCTTGGGAGTTTTACCACCTTTGACTGCCAATCCGTCACCAGAATCGATCACCATCAACACCAGGAATAAATCATCATCAGCTATAATAACCATCTAATAATTAATCATTAGATATTCATAATCATCATCAATCGTTCAACATATTATTCGTTCAGATGTAATCATCACAATCGTAAAGTTGCAAGTCCTGCACCCTTGTAGCAGACTCCTTGCATCATATTTGCAGTTGTGACGATATGGGTCTTGCACACTTGTGGCAACTTATATCACAGATGTGCTGTAAATCACAGATGTGATATAAGTTCTGCATGCTAGTGGCAGACTCTATGGTTTAGCCGTGTTTGTTGTAGTATAGAGTTAGACTGATAACTTTAATCTAAATTGTCTTATGGTTGTTATTGTTTGACTTGCATCCCACTGGGATGTTTGCACACATCATTGATATTCGGTGCTTTTTCTGAAAGACTTTGCTGTTATTCCTGGATTTTTTTCTGTTGCACGTAGTCACTTTAAGATGTTTCTTGTGCATGTTTTGTTTGTTTCGGTTGCACCCGATTCAAGAGCCGAATGGCTCACAGGGTTATACCAAATACATGAAACAGAAAAAAACTGAACCACCTTTAGATATAAGTACACCATGTATTGTCATCATCATCACGACTGCGATTTTAGTCCTGCATGCTTTGGGAGACTTCCTACATCATTATTGTTATTAGCACGGTTGGCTACGTGCGGTGTGAAATAAGTTCAACATACATAAATTATCACAGCTGTGATTTGTGAGTCATGAATACTTTTGTCAGAGTGCTTGCATCATCATTTGGCATTGTATGTTGAACTTCTTTCGTACGTAGCCAACCGTGCTAATCAGAGGTCACTGTATATTACGAATACATCTCTTGAGAATATTTAATTGTATTTTCATAAAATGGCTCAAACAACACGTGCTTTGAATTTAAATAAAATATTGTATAACCTCGTTACATTTTACATGCACCATGTGGCAGTGCATATTGGTTACCACAAATAATAATTATCAATACGCTGCATAAGATAAAAAATACGTGATGAAAAAGATCACACAAAAGCATACATTCAACACATTAATATTCACATTCTTCCTGTATTTAATTCGTTTTATCTCGCCTGACTAAATAAAATGCTGTTAATATTGCAAGATCATTGTGGAAACTACTACATAAACATTACGTGTGTTCATATGCTGATCAGCAGGTGAACCAGAGCCACGCAAATTAATGTTCAACCACTGGAAGACAGTGAACATTTAGAAAGTTGAACTGTGATAAAAAGAAAAATTCCAAAGTAATGGACTTTAGAAGGAGAGTCATTTGTACGTATGTTTTACTTCCAACCAGGTGAGCAACAATTTATACTGCAACTTTAGGTTACAAAGGCATGGTTCAAACAACACGTGGACCTCTTAAACTCTGGCAAACGGTGTTCAATACTTAGAAATTGACATTGAGAATGAGCTCTCGTTCTCTTCCCACATAACACAAGTCTGCAGGACGTCATCCCTCCATTGCACATCTCCTACATCCACGGTTTCCTTATCCCATCTGCCGCCGAATCCCTCAACCATGCCTTCGTTACCTTTCAACTCGACTATTGCAACGTTTTCTTCTACAGCCTTCCCCAACCCCTTATCTCCATACTCGAGTTGCTCCGCAATACCACTGCCAGAGCTCTTAGTCGCACCAATGAACATGAGCAAATCACTCGAAAACATAACTGGTTCTAATCCAATCCAGGATCACCTTCGAGCTCACAATCAGCATCTCCGAGATTATCCATGGACTAGCCCCTCATCTAACTCAAACCCCTCCCCCCACCAAGCACTCTGTAAAAGCCCCTTGTCAAACGTCACTCAATAGGAGTTCACTATTTTCCCTCTGATACCCCAATGTCTGCAACTCTCTTTCCACAGCCGTCGGTGTTGTCTAATTCCTGCGCCTGTTCAAATGTAGGTTCAAGACTGGTCTATTTCTCCATATTAAATACGTGTCCCCTCTTTCCCCAGGATACCCATGTTCCACTGTACTGTACAGAATTTTGATAGTGAAGCCATATGAATCAAAACTGTATTGTATTGTATAACAAACATAGACATGCACTTTGAAAATTCATATAATGGATTAAAATGGATCGGCAAGCTCCTGATGGAATATCTAGAAAACGGTTACCACCAAGAGGAATCTAAAAATTGCAGACAAGAATACGGTTTAAAGTTACTGTACTCAAAACCCTAAGTACATGTATAAGATTACAAATCCATGAGCACAGTTAAAATCTTAACGAATTACAAAAAAACTGTTCTTGTAATTCCATGAATAAAAATGTAAACAATATTACTATATCCAGACCAGTATTGTAGTGAAATCTAGATTTTAAGTTTTCGTGACTGCAGGGATCCATACTCTTTGGTTCTTTAGGTAAAGTCACGTAATTATACAATAAAATATTGTAGTGCTGTATTGTTGGGGTAGCACAGTGGCACAGCAGATATATACTCTCTGACCTGCGTTCAACTCCCACCCACAGCTAGTATCAGTATGGTGAATCATGGTCAAATGGTCACCATTTCCAACATGGTATGGAGGGACTGTTATCGATGAATAGATTAATTGGGATAATATCGCTATATGTAATTCCAATAGAGTAATTTCCCAGTCACCTTTCAGCATTGGGATGTTGGACGAACACCAATTTTATTATTTGTATTAGCCTTTGGGAGGAAAGCAGAGAATCCAGAGGAAACACATGCACAACAGAAGGAGAATATACAAACTCCACATGGAAAGGCACACAAATCGAAAATGGAACTCAGGTTCATCTAACAGTAAGGCACAAGCGTTATCATTGCACCACCCTGCCACCCAAGTCTAATATAGGCTCAGCATGAGTTACAGAATATATTTCGACATGTCATTGTTCAGGTTCGGCAACGTTTTGTTCATTCACAAAGCGTGTGATATTTTATCCAAAATGATTCCAACATGCTTATCATCCATGCTCCAAAACTGCTATTTACATCACTTTCTAAAATTATCAAGTAACTATGCTTAATACAGCTTAATACAGCTTATTATACCATAGAAAATAGGTTTGCTCCATGGTAGCCAACTTCTGGCCATTAAATCTTTGACGTTGGAATGTTTCTCATTTTTCAAAAACCCTTTCTGTTATCATACATATTGTTTCGTTTGGCAAGAATCGTGCTCGTCCACCATGCAATACTTTATTTTTCATTATTCCAGTTGGGGTCCGGTCGAAATTAATCGAGATTAGTGAGACCATGCTGTACTTTTATTTTCACTGTTCCCTCTTTGTGCTGTTTGTGCAATAGAAAAAACACGTGAATACTATTCAATATATATAACAGTGCAATTTATGGCACGTACAATATTTCACAGACACAAATGACCATGACTCTGAGGCACGAAGCCAAGCCCAGTGTTGCCAACCAAACAAAGTGGACCTTTAGGTCTCTGAAAAGTATTTGTAGATTGCATGCTGCGAATTTGCAGCGGGGTGGCGTTCCAGACAACGGGGGCTGCCATGGAGAAACAACACCTGGCAGTGACAGTCCTGGTCCTTAATATAGAGATGAGGTTGAGAGTCATGCTGGGGAGATTTCTACCATGGGCTGTATTTTAGGATTACAGGAGCGAAGAGAGATACAATGGATGACCAAAAGTACAGGTGTGGTGGCACAAACAGGAAATCTTGTATCATCTTGTAGCTGACTGATGGCGATCGGAATCCAGTGGAGGAAGGAGGATATACAGGAAAACAGCTGACCCACCATTTTTTAAATACGCATCATCATTGTCCATTATCAATTCACTGCTGGATGAAGACCTCCCCCAACCATCACCATCTCTCAAGGTCTTACGATGCAACAATCTTGCATTTGGCCAGATTGTTGCAATCAATTCTGTTCTTGACAGCAAACATGATTTCTCTAACTTGAATACGTTCCCTAATTCACGTGTTCCTCCCTGTCTCTCGATGTCATTTCAAGCATGCATCTCTCCACACTTGTTTGTGCACATTTCACCTTTTGCTCAATTTTTTTTCTAATTTTAAATAAATCCATGTCATAGCAGGTATTATACAGTGATGAAAAAATTATTCTTAAGCTACAATGATACGTTGCAGAGTAGAATATGCACTATTAGAAAACATTATTGAGGCCGATTAGCACTTTCGATTAGCACGGTTGGCTACGTATAGTGAAAAAAAAGTTCAACATATGTAAACACAATTATTTAAGGCAGACAAGGATCAA